GCTGCTACTGCTAAGTCACTTCAGTCATGTCCGACTCTGTGCGACCCCATCCCTGGGATTCTCCAGGCAAGAACACTGGAGTGGGTTGCCATTTCCTTCTCCAGTGCATAAAAGTGAAAAGTGAAAGTGAAGTCGCTCAGCCATGTCCGACTCTTCGCGACCCCATGGACTGCAGCCTACCAGGCTCCTCTGTCCATGGGATTTTCCAGACAAGAGTACTGGAGTGGGGTGCCATTGCCTTCTCCATGAAAGCCACTACAATATCATAAAGTAAATAGCCTCCAATTAAAATTAATTAATTAATTATTTTTTTTAAAAAGCAGAGACATTACTTTGCCAACAAAGGTCCATCTAGTCAAAGCTATGGTTTTTCCAGTAGTCATGTATGGATGTGAGAGTTGGACTATAAAGAAATCTGAGAGCCAAAAAATTGATGCTTTTGAACTTTGTTGTTGGAGAAGACTCTTGAGAGTCCTAGACTGCAAGGAGATCAAACCAGTCAATCCTAAATGAAATCAGTCCTGAATATTCATTGGAAGGACTGATACTGAAGCTGAAGCTCCAATACTTTGGCCACCTGATGCAAAGAGCCGACTCACTGTAAAAGACCTTGATGCTGGAAAAGATTGAGAGCAAGAAGAGAAGGGGGTGACAGAGGATGAGATGGTTGGATGGCATCACTGACTCGATGGGCATGAGTTTGAGTAAGCTCCAAGAGTTTGTGATGGACATGGAAGCCTGGCATGCTGCAGTCCGTGGGGTCGCAAAGAGTCAGACATGACTGAGTGTTTAAACTGAACTGATGTGAAATCTATACATCCCATTTCATAGACCAGGTTTGTAAAATAAGTTCATTTTTCTGCTAATAATAAAATCTATAACTCTAAGGTTACACTTACTATTGAGAGCCTCTTTCTCCCTGCCGTGCAATTGCTTCTTTCTGTGATTCCAGGTTACTGGGAGAATTAAATAAGTTATTACAGGAAAAGTGTTTATACTAGTGTCCATCTCAATTCTAAGAGAATAGCACTCACTCAATAAATATTCTTTATTATTATTCCCACCATCAATATCATTCCCAGTATTTCAGTTTGTCCAGTGGGGCTTCCCAGGTGGTGCTAATGGTAAAAAGACTACCTGCCAATGCAGCAGACGTAAGAGATGCAGGTTCAGTCCCTTGGTGGGGAAGAGCCCCTGGAGCAGGAAATGACAACCCACTCCAGTATTCTTGCCTGGAGAACCCCATGGACAGAGGAACCTGGTGGGATGCAGTCCATGGGGTCACAAAGGGTCGGACACAACTGAAACAACTTAGCACACATTGGAGTCTGAATTTGGGAATCCAGCTAGAGGTAAAGGATGTCAGAGACGCAATGGTTGTTGACACTGCTCACAAGTGTACAGGCTCCCTGGTCTTCCTGGCACCAGCTAGAAGTGGACTCACTCAACTGCCTATGGTTGGGTAAGGCCACATGACGAGTTCTGCCCACTGGGTTGTGCATGGAAGCAACACATGTTCGCCTCCACCATGGAGTTTTAATTGCTGATGCAGAATCTGCCAGAAGACCAGCAACGTTGCAGATGAGGGCTGCTCCTTCTGTCTCCATCCTCCACTGAGAACAGTGATGAGATGGAACAGAATTCCTGCCAGCTTGTAAAGGCTGTGTAGCATGAGCAAGAAATGTCTTCACTCTTTTAGCCACCATGGTTTGGGTTTGTTTGTTTCTGTGACTCACTCTAGCCCAACACCAGGAACTCAATTAACTCAGCATGTATGGCAAGTGCATCTCCAAAGGCGGCTGTGGCTTGTTGAAAACTCAAAAAGGTTTTTTGCCAGTGGCTCTTTCTGCCACAACATTTCTCAGGGCCAGGACATGGGGGGAGGTATTTCTGGGAAAATATGGGAGAAGAGAAAATCAGGTTCCTCCTTCCAGCATTTTGCTCAACTATGAGCTCCCAATGTTGTGGTCATGCCTTGCTAAAATTAACTTGGTGATAAGTTGGTTCAGCCCCAAACACATGCTTCATCCTCAGTTTGACAAATGCCCTGTCCCCAACCAAGTCACCTCTCCATCACTGTGATATTTTGGTATCCTTTTCACCTACTGGTTTCAGTCAGTACCATCTAAATCATCAGAAATTTTCAAACATGTTAAACATCAAAAAGGAAAGTAAAAGGGAGTTTCCAGCCCTTTCAAAACTTAGCTCCGTATGCAAATATGCTCAAACGTACAGTCTAATCTTTAAGCTCTCTAAACTGGAAGAATGGATGGCTTTGTCACACCCCAAATGTCTCCCAATTCCCACATATTAGACACCTGGTTCTTTCTCCTGGCTTTCCATAGCATCATAGCGCTGTGCAGAAACCTTTATTGACCACTTCTCAGGATCTCTGCAATTTTGTTTTCAGGGCATTTTCATGTATATACATGGTGATGACATAGCATGGCATAAACACAGAGGATACATTTGGAATCATTCCTGACCCCTCCCTCTCCTTCCCATATACCCAGTCAAGTGACAGTGAGATACCTTTCATCCTGCTTCCTAGGAAAGGGTGATAGGAGGGGGACCTGGGCACAGGAAGTGCATGGAACTCCTGTGGGGTGACTGTAATGGGCTGGGCTGTCACTGAGCACACGTGAAACACCCTTGGGTCCTCTTGGTTTAACTGGATGAGACTTGGACAGGATGAGCAAGTGTGAGCAGGAGCCAGGGCAATTTTAATAATTACTGTGCAACTATATCCACAAGGGCTATAAACCTGGGACACCTCATTTCTTACACGCCATCACCTCTCACTCCTGTCCAATGCAACCCTCCCCTCTGCCAATAAGTCTGGTCGCTAATCTTGAGAATACTGGATTCATTTGTACTCCTTTGCTCATATGGCATTCAACCATCTATATAGCTCTTCCCTTGTCCTCTGTTTATGTGACCTAACCTAAGCAATCCTTCAAGGGCCTCTTCTGTTTCTTAACTCTTTAAGCTCTGCCTACATGGTCTCTCTTTGCCACATTGCATTATCATCCATTTATGCACTTAATTGCATGCCATCTCATCATTATTTTAATAGTTTCCAAGTGTCTTATCTTGTTTGTCTAACTTAAATACATTTTCTTTGAGTTTAGGGGTCATGAATGTCTTCCATTTTTCTACAAGCGCCCTTGTGCTTCCATATATAGTAGTAGTCTAATACTTATTGTTATGTGTGGATGAAGAAATAGCACATACATGTGGTACGTGTGTGTGAGCTTAGTTGCTGAGTCATGTCCAACTCTTTGCCAGCCTCCTCTTCCCATGGGATTTCCCCTGCAAGAATACTGGGATGGGTTGCCATTCCTTTCTCCAGGGGATCTTCCTGACCCAGGGATTGAACCGGTGTCTCCTGTGTCTCCTGCATTGGCAGGCGGATTCTTTACCACTGAGACACCTGGGAAATCCTATGGTATTTGTATACTACCTGTATATGGTTCTGCCAAAATGACATCACTTAATCTCTCACCATAACTTTGTTTTTGTAGTAGTGGAGACAGATTTTCTCTGATGTAGCACACCCTCATTGGAAAGATGTACATTGTGGGAAAAACTGCAAATTCTCTGGCTGCATCATTTGGGATAAACCAAGATCTATCATCCAACCCACACCTGAAAAAGGGGACAATAATAACAATAGTAGTAATAAAAATGATGTGGGAGCACTGTATTTGCCTCCTCGAGATCCACATGCAGTGTTTGCTTGTTCTCTCTAGCTCCCCTCAAAGCAGGTGGATAATAGACTAAGCCAAATGAATGAGAATAATCCTGTCTCCAGCTACAGTTGTTGGCTCAGATGTGGGCACTTGTCCCAACTCAGGCCAATGAGTAAGTGTTTGCTTGCTGACTCTGAAAAAGATGCATTTTCACCAAGTAAGACCTTCCCAAAGTTTTAGATGAAACTGACATCATGGAAAGCATGGCGGACAGACGGAAAAAAAACTAGTTACTGGTGATATTATTTCACTGCTGAATCAAACTGTCCCTGAAGTCCATCCTGTCCTGGACTTGAGTAAAATGAGCTACCTTTTCAAGGTCAACTCAGTCCACTTAGAGTTGGATTTTCTGTTGCTTGCAACCAAATATAACTGGTATACCTATAAAGACAATAATAGTTCATCACAAACTCAGAGTAATTGGGAGGGTAGAGGTTAATCACAGATGCAAAACTGCTGCATCGGTTTAATCATGCAAATATTTGTTGCTGACAGTTGCTGTGTTAAGATTTCTTCCCTTAAGACATAGAACACGGAGAGGATCTTAAAGGTGTAGTAGTCCTGTTGAGGGGTTATCTTGGTCATTAAAATTTTCTCTCAACAGAGATTCCAGAAAGCTTGAAACCTTAAAATACAAACTGAATGGGATAAAAAGTGCAGCAGATACTGCATATGACAAATTTCTAGAAGGAAATGATTTATATAAAACCTGGTGCATAGCACAAAGTAAGTGCTAAATAACTCTTTTCAATTTTAATTTTTAAAAATAAATCAATCACACAAAGTACATCGAAGTTACCAAAGTTAGTGTCGAAGCAGTCTCTCTTCTTCCCGGGACCCCTCAATCATCCGATATACCTTTCTTTGCATTTCTTTTGTGTATTTCCAGAGATACTCTATAGGCGCCAGTAGCATCCCATACACACTGTTGTGCTCCATTTTATTTTTTTGGATCCCATAATGTAACCGGGAGTTCTCTCCGTATCAGCGTCTATAGGGCTGTCCATTTCCTTTTAAACACTGCAGAGAATTCCAAACGTTGCCCAAACGCAGTTTCTTTCCCTGAAAGTGACTTTACAGCGTTTCCCACCGTTTGCGGATGTCACACAATGATGTCATGATTACCCTTCTAGGGAGACATTGCACAGAACTGACAGCACATCTGCAGGATGCATTCTGAGCCGTGGAACTGCTGATTCAAAGGACTCGTGTACAGTAACTTTGTTTTCATTTCTGAATTCATGAATGCTAAATTCGACGTTCGGGGGCAGCCCGCGGGGGCACCTCAGCAGCTCTCTGAGCCGTGGGTAGACACTGGCGTGGTGACTGAGGAACCCCCAGCTCGCGCTCAGCTGGCCCGCAGGGCCGGTCCCTCCTCGCGCGCGCCGGGCCCGGCCCGCCGCCCCACCCGCGGCCCGGAGCGCGGCACGTGCGAGTCCACGTGAGACTGCCCGGGCGCGCAGAGCGGATGTGCGCCTGCGCGGGCGGCGGGAAAAGTAGGTCAGACTCCCGCGTCACGTGACCCGCTCCCCTCCGCTCCCCCGGCGCCTCCCGCCCGGGCGCAGCCAGCAGGCGCTCCGCAGCCAACGTGAGCGGCGGGCGCGGCCCGCGAGCGCCCGGCGCCTGCGAGGATTCGCCGGTTCTCGTCCCTGCCGGGCGCTCCGCTCCGAAGTCGGGCGGGCGAAAGGAGCGCCGCTCGGAGCCTCCCGCCGCGGAGTAGGAGCGAATCGCAGAAGGCGGCGGCCTCCCCTCGCTGACTGGGGAGTGAGCGCGTGGCCGCTCCACGTGGGCCGGACTCCATGGAGCCTTCGTGGTCCCTGTGTGTCAGACATTCCGGGAAACGAACTGTGTCCAGGAAATCTTCCCAGCCCAGGGATCGAACCCGGGTCTCCCGCACTGCGGGCGGATTCTTCACCGCCTGAGCTACCAGGGAAGCCTGAGGAGGTGGGAGAGTGTGACTGGTTCCCGGCCGTTTGTAGGAATACTCCTCAGGCCCCGTTTCTAATCTGCCCCCCGCCCCCGAGGTACCTCACTGTGAGGCTTTTAGGTACATTTCTCACCTTCCACAGGAGACTTCAGCGGGGATGGGTGCCCATGAGGCTGGCTGTGTGTGAGGCAGCTCTGAATCAACTGAAGCCTAAGTTTTGTGTGTTAGGAAAAATTATTTGTGTCTCCACCCTTTCTGATTTTAAACTTTTTGCACAAAGACGGGCTCTGCCTAAGTGGGTTGCAAACCCGTGGAAGAGACCAACAAAGTCAACGGGCCACACCGCAGTGGGCTGTAAATCCTTCGATAGAGGTGTGCCCAGGTGTTACATAAGCACAAAGGAGGAGGGGCACCCAAGCGCAGGGGTGGGTACCCTGAGTTTTGACGGCTAAGTGGGAGTTAGCTGGCAGAGAAGTAAGGCAGAGAGGGTGGGTAAGTGTTCCAAACAAAAGGAGCTACTAATAGTTACATAATGTTTCCCTCACAGAGTTCTTCACTATAATTGTTTTAGCCATGCATGTCGTTGGAATGTATGTAGCTTCCATTTATGTTATTCTAAACCAGTCTTTAATGAACATCATTATGCACAATGCTTTCCCCATTTCACTTTAAAATAAATCCCAGGAAAAGGATGGGTACATAGAAGTCACAAATATTTTGTAACTTTTGTAAAGCACTGAAATTGTTTTCCGAAAAGAGTTATTTTAAATTTGTATCAAGGTAGCATTTAAATATTTAGCATTGAGGCAGTAAGTCGCTCTTTAATTATTTCAAATCAACATAGTCTGATGAGATTAGTGTTTTATTTACCAAAATGCCATAAATCATAATTATGCATTTCTAGTTTTCATGACCCATGATAAAATTCTGATTGAATTCAAGTCTGAAAAATGGAAAATATCAGATCAGTGCATTTCATCCTTACAGGGAACTCCGTAGCGTGCGCGCGCGCGCGCGTGTGTGTGTGTGTGTGTGTGTGTGTGTGTGTGTGTGTGTTGGGAGCAGGGGTTGAGGGACAGAGAATAGGAGTGAGAGAAACTAAAGCAGCACTAATGTCCAATACTTGTCTCTGATTACTTTCTTGCTGTGAATCAAGAGGAACAGAGAAGTTAGCTCCACACAAGTCAGAACAAGCCAGGAAATTTCCACACCTTGCAGCAAATGTCAGAACAGCAGCAGAATCAAAGGGGTCCAGAGTTTGACCCAAAAGGCCACTATAACTTAGAGGAAGCTTGGTCATGTGTTGGGAAGGATATTCCAGAAACCTGCATGCTTCCCAGCTAAGTCTCTGTTGGCATCTGTACCTACAAGAAGAAAACAGTACTGTGTCACTCAAAAGGACATTTGGGGGGAAAGTAATTTAGGTAATAGGGACTATGAAAGCAGAACATACCTTCCTTTTTGCCTGTATTAAGCTAGATGGTTAAGGAAAGCAGAAGCATGGTACAGTTTTGATTTTGCAGACACAAAGCTATAGTTCACATTGTATTTTTTCCCTAATATCTATTCTGCACATTGGGTAATGACCATATACTTTAGAGGAAGGGACTTACCTTCCGGCAGCCTCTGGGGCTGGCCTTGATTGAATTAACAAATCAGAGTAGTCCCATTGCATTTTTATAAAAATTAAAAGAGTTAATTCAGCAAAAGCACTTAGAAGGCTGACTGCCACATGTTAAGTGCTCAGTGAACATTTGTTGTTGATACTGTTGTTACGATTAGTGTAACAATGACTATTCAATCAGAGAAAGCCTGAACTTGTTTCAGTGGTTACTTGATGACCTTCTTTCTTCTAGGAAGGAGATAAAGAAGATGTGTAACAACTGGTGCCATCTTTCCACCTTGAGGGGAGCCAAGCCAAGCCGACCCCACACCTGATAAAAGAGGAGGGGCAGAGGAGGCCACACCCTGATCAAACTGCACTTGGCAGTCTGCACTATCTCTTGATATTTCAGTTGTTTGAGACAAACACATCCCATTTGTTACTTTTGTCATTGAAGTTATTGTTTGGTTGCTAAGTCATGTCCCATCCTTTGCGACCCCATGGACTGCAGCACTTCAGCCTCCTCTGTCCTCCACTGTCTCCTGGAGTTTGCTCAGATTCGTGTCAATTGAATTGGTGATGCTATCTAACCATCTTATTCTCTGCCACACAGCTTCTCCTTTGCCTTCAATCTTTCCCAGCTCAGGGTCTTTTACAATGAGTCTGCCCTTTGCATCAGGTAGCCAAAGTATTGGAGCTTCAGCAGCAGTTCTTCCAGTGAATATTCAGGGTTGATTTCCTTCAGGATTGATTGGTTTGATCTCCTTGCAGTTCAAGGGACTTTCAAGAGTATTCTCTAGCACCACAATGCGGAAGCATCAATTCTTCAGTGCTCAGTCTTCTTTATTGTCCAAATCTCACATCTATACATGACTGTTGGAAAAACCGTAGCGTTGACTATCTGATGTCTCTGCTTTTTAATATACCATCCAGGTTGGTCATAGCTTTTCTTCCAAGGAGCAAGAATCTATCAATTTCATGGCTACAGTCACCATCCATGGTGATTTTGCTGCCCAAGAAAATAAAATCTGTCACTGCTTCCACTTTCCTCCTATTTGCCATGAAGCGATGTGGACCAGATGCCATGATCTAGTTTTTTTTTTTTTTTTTTAATTTGCATTTAAGCCAACTTTTTCACTCTCCTCTTTCACTATCATCAAGAAGCTCTTTTGTTTCTCTTCACTTTCTGCCATTAGAGCAGTATCATCTTGAATGTCTGGAAGTTCTCAGTTCATGTATTATTGAAGTCTCACTTGGAGGATTTTGAGCATGATTTTGCTAGCTTGTGAAATGGGTACAATTGTGCAGAAGTTTGAACATTCTTTGGCACTGCCTTTCTTTGGGATTGGAATGAAAACTGACCTTTTCTAGTCCTGTGGCCACTGCTGAGTTTTCCAAATTTGCTGACAAATTGAGTGCAGTCCTTTAATAGCATCATCTTTTAGGATTTGAAACAATTCAGCTGGAATTCAGACACTTCCACTAGCTTTATTCATAGTAATGCTTCCTAAGGCCCACTTGACTTCACACTCCAGGATGCCTGGCTCTAGGTGGGTGACCACACCATCATAGTTATCTGAGTCATTAAGACCTTACTTGTACAGTTCTATGTATTCTTGCCACCTCTCCTTAATCTCTTCTGCTTCTGTTAGGTCCTTACCATTTCTCTCCTTTCTTATGCCCATCTTTGCATCAAAAGTTCCCCTGATATCTCCACTTTCCTTGAATAGATTTCCAGTCTTTCCCATTCTACTGTCTTTCTCTATTTCTTCACATTGTTCATTTAAGAAGGTTTTCTTATCTCTCCTTGTTATTCTCTGCAACTCTGAATTCAGTTGGGTATATCTTTCTCTTTCTCCAGTACCTTTCATTTCTCTTCTTTTCTCAGCTATTTGTAAGGCCTCCTCAGACAACCACTTTGCCTTCTTGCATTTCTTTTTGTTTGCAATGGTTTTGGTCACTGCCTCCTGTACAATATTATGAATCTCTGTCCATAGTTCTTCAGGCATTCTGTCTACCAAACCTAATCCCTTGAATCTGTTTGTCACCTCCACTGTATAATCATAAGGGATTTGATTTATGTCATTGCTGAATGGTCTAGTGGTTTTCTCAACTTTCTTCTGTGTAAGCCTGAAGTTTGCAGTAAGGAACTCATGACCTGAGCCACAGCCAGGTCCAGGTCTTCTTTTTACTGACTGTATAGAGCTTCTCCATCTTTGGCTGCAAAACATAATCAGTCTAATTTCAGTATTGACCATTGGAGTTAGGTTATCTGTTATTTGCCAACAACAGGTAACAAAAGTGCATGTCTTAAGAATGAGATGATACTCCCATATTTGAACATCTGCCCATGTTTATTTCATTATACAATTCTTTTACTTCTTCCCATACAGCGAGGAAAAGGGGGAGGGAAGAAGAATTGTTCACAGTGGAAGCCAGCATCTCAGGGAAATATTTTGTTATTGCTTCTCAGTACCATCCCAGGAAGGCAGGCTCCAGCCCAAGGGTTCTGAACCAAGGATGCACATCAGAATCACCTATGACTATTTTTACACACATGCCCAGGACTCTGTTCCTCAATATTTTGAATCAGTGATTCTGGAGAAGGGCAGGGATCTACGGAAAGAACTACACACCACTAGCTCTGAACTGGTGTTTAATCCAAATTGCTCCTCCTAAACCATTCCTGGGTCCCTTTGGCCAATGATGCTAAAACACCTTGAATCCTATGGATATAATCCAGAAAAACTGCGCACATATATCTTATCTGAAGTTAAGAAGGGCAATTCTTTTTTTTCCCCCAAAGTTACATATTAAGAATTTTAGTTGGTTGAGTGGGGAGAAAACATCCAAGTAACTTAAAATTTTACCTGTTTTGCCATTCTAAATGCAGTTAGCTCTTCTGAAACTAGGAATAACGTCTGGTAAGGTGCTGATGTACTCCAAACAACAACAAAACTCTGCATGGCATTTGCAGTAGATGCAGAGCAGTATTTGGTATCAGTGTTCTTTGTTAAATTGCTGAGGTATATTTTGGAATTACAGCACTAAAATAACAACAGGCTTGATTCCATCAACTCTCTTGGAGGGTTTGTGTAAGGAAATTGTATTTGCCTGCTGAACTGTAAATTAAACAGTTTCTTCCACTGCTTCGACCTTGCATCTCTGTGTCTGCATATGGAATATGTTCTCACTGGACTTCTGTAAAGAGCACCCAAAGAGAAAAAAGAGGAAACTTTACTCAACACATTGAAAAGCAAAGAATTTCCTGCTTTCCCCAGAAGTCC